AGACTAGGGTTCAGACGTTAGCTGAGGAAAAGCCACTATGTAGGCCTATGGTTCCTGAGTTTAAGGTTGATACTAATGGTGGTAAGACAACTAACTGTGAATGCAGTGCGAGAGGCAGTATGATTCCAAATTAGTGCATGCTAGGAAGTTAGTGAGTACAGATGAGGAGTTGATCACAGGTCGTAACAATTGGGCAAGGTTTTCAATGAACAAGGGCTGATGTATAGAGAGTTTCAGTCACCTCATGTTGATAGAGGATGTGTGTGTTCCCAATTAGTTGTACCATTGTCTTACCGTGATCAAGTACTAGCACTTACTCATGAGTCAGTTATAAAAGGTCGTCTGGGTGTGCAACTGAGTTTTATTGGCCTGGGATGCATGGTGATGTTACTGGGTATTGAAGGTCATATTATATATGCCAGAAGACCACTCCTAAGGGTTGAGCTAACAAGGAACCATTTGGCGATATGCTCTTGATTGTAATTCAATTTCAAATTATAGCTATGGATCTGATTGGTCCGATCAGTCCAGCAACTGAGAGAGGTCATAAATACATTTTAACTGTTGTAGACTATGCTTCATGGTACCCTGAAGTGTAGCGTTACTTCAGAGGTGGTTCATGATGCTTTAGTCAGTATATATAATAGGGTTGGTATACACAAAGAAGTTTTAACTGATTTAGGGACACAGTTTGTATCTGACATTATGAAAAAAGTGAACAGTGTTGTCTATTAAACAATTAGTAACTACTCCATATCACACAGCATGTAATGGTTTAGTTGAGCGGTTTAATGCTACTTTGAAAAGTATGTTGAAACACATGTGTCAAGAACATCCCAAGGATTGGTATAGGTATCTTGACCCATAGACTGTTTACCTATAGAGAAGCTCCTCAGGAGAGTTTAGGGTTTTCACCCTTTGATCTTATTTATGGTAGAACAGTGAGGGACTCAATGATAATTTTCAGAGAGTTGTGGACAAAGGAAGCCACTATTCCAGAGGTTAAATCTACATACCAGTATGTTGTTGATTCGCGAAATTGCCTTTAAGAGACATCTAAACTGGCTCAAGCTGAGTTAGCTAAGGCAAAGTTTATATACACAAAGTAATATGATAGGAAGGCCAGGGATAAGAAGTTATAACCTGACAAAGCGTTACTTCCCACTGACCACAATAAGTTGTTGATGTGAAGACAGGGATCATATCTAAATAAGGAGAGAGTGGGTAAGATTGATTACAGAATGGATGTAAAAAGCAAGGTGAAAATTTATCATGCTAACTTGTTGAAATCATATTATCAAAGAGACAAACGGAATGACAAGAAAGTGCTTATGGGTGCTTATCATACCCTTTACCATTCATTTTGACAGATGTTGTGAGGTCAGAAGTTAAGAGTATGGTAGAGATGGGTGTAATTGAAACATCAAATTCAACTTATGCCTCACCTATTATTTTGGTAAATAAGAAAGGAGAGGGTGTTAGGCTTGCATTGATTTTCGCAAACTCAATCGCATTACAGTGTTCGATGCAGAACCAATGCCATCACCTGAAGACCTATTTGCATGCTCAAAAAGAGTCGGTACTTCACCAAGATTAATCTAACCAAGGGGTACTGGCAGATCTCCATGAGTAGGCGGGCTAAAAAAAGACAGCCTTTCACACACCTGATGGTTTAATTCAGTTTCCACGAATGCCATTTGGGCTTGTGAATGCACCAGCCTCTTTTTCCTGTATGAAGCGTATTTTGTTGGAAGGTCTTGAAGGTAAAGTTGAGAATTTAATTGATGAGATTTTAATTTATTTAAAATATTGGGTGGAGCATGTACAGATTGCACAGGAGGTTTTGGCAAAGTGTTTCTTTGATTTTACTAATTTAGTGTTTATAGGTCACCAGGTCTGTGACGGTATTTTGCAAGTATTGCCGGTTAAAATAAAAGCCATACAGCATGCAGCCATACCTGAAACAGTAAAATTAAGTAAGGTCTTTTTAGGCATGACTGGATGCATTCACAAATTTGCACCAAATTTGATACAATAGCAGCTCCTCTCAGTGATTTGACCAGAAAAGGTAAGCGAAGAAAGGTAGTCTGGGGAGATCCCCAGAAACGTGCCTTTAATCACTTGAACGTTTTATTGATCATGAGTAAGCAGCCAATTTTAAGGTTGCCTGATTTTACTGAGAGTTTTATTTTCAGATACATCAGAAGTTGGGCTTGGTGCAGTCATATTGCAACAATGTGAGGAAAGAAAAAGGGTATTTGGCAGTGATTTAGGCATTGCATAAATTTCATAAATATTTATATGGTAACGAATTTATTCTGGAGTCTGATCCCCATTAATTTATTTAAAGAAGGCGCGAGAAGTAAACAGTAGGTTAATGTAGTTGGCCCTATATTTGCAATCATTTAGCTACCACGGTATATCAATTAAAGGTAATGAAATTATAGGTGCGAACTATTTAAGCAGGATTGAGAATGCTTAGAATTACTGTTACAATATTTTTTTGCAATTTTGAGAAATGTAAATCTATTGGCAGTTGATGTTGATTATTGGACTGAAAATGTGCCATGTTCAGTCTTGATGAGGGAGCAATGTCAGCATCCTTCAGCATGTTTTTGTCGTATTGGGAAGGAACGGTGTGCATTGCTGTGTGATAACTGTCATAAAGGTGATTGACAGGTCATACTTGTTTCAACTCTGGAAGCACAGTTTTAATCTACCAGGTTTGCTTGTGATTTACATAACAAAGGATGTTTACGGTCTACTGAATAGCCTACGTGAGACAGCTGCTGGCAAGACCACATTTAGATTTGCTCATATGGAAACCCAGGTGTTGTCCCTGAATCTGGGCCATTTATGCCTATAAATAGGCTAGACTGAGGACAGTTTCGGTCCATCATTTCTACTGTGTATCCTGTGTGTTGCTGCTGCGATACTGTGAGACAAGCGATAAAGGCTTCAACCATCATTCTGTGAGACTTGTATGAACTGTTCTGCGATCTCCTGTTCCAGCGGTGCCCTCTAGAATAACAGCGTTCTTCTGCAAGCAATACCCCCTGTATTTCTTTGTCATTGTGCTGCAGAAGCCTGGAACTGTGAGTTATCACCAATGCACATTTCCCTAGGCAATCCCCTATTTCAGTGAATTTATTCATTGATTTTTTCTGTGCTTTGTTTCTTGTAATTATTTTTGAGAGGTATTAAAACCAGAAGCTTTAACTTGATATTTTGGTGTATGTGTATTTCATTTCCATTATTATTGTCTTGTCTACCCCATTCTAGCAGTGAATCAGTCCAGTGTGAGTTCTGTGGGCACCCCTCTCAATAGCAATAAACAGGCCATACACTGTGACATTTTTAAAAGTAAGAAGTTGGTCTATAGCTTATACGTATAATATTTCTACGTTGTATTTCCTAGGTTTTATACTTGGTTGTTTTATTTTGATATTATTATCAAATTATTATACAATTTGCATTCTATAAGTTTGATATCTTTATATCCTGTCAATGTTCCATGAAACTGGTGTTGCCACATCGTTTATTTGATGAAGATATGTTGT